CCTCCATTCTTCACCCGATAACTCGCGCGCGGAGGTGGAGGAAGCAGCAACACAATCGTGTGTTAGAAGAAGTGGTTTTCTGAGAGAGAGAGAGGGTGTCCGTTCATGCACCGGTGCGCGCACAAAGCCTCTCTGGGAGGAAGTTTTTGCTCGAGCTAAAAAGAAGGAAAAAAAAGGATTTGGATGCTGCAAAATGTTTTAGAAATCAAAGAAATGATTCAGGGTTGCAGAGACATTCAGAATTTCTCTAATTAAGTTTTTATTTTGCAGTCTCAATGCGAAATTAAAGTTATTATTGAAAAAGTTTGGATTTTGTCTAAAGTAGTAAGGCATTTTCCTCTTTAAACTATTAGAATAACTGTCATAGTTTAGCCCACAAATACAGTGTTGGTCTTTTTGCTACATTTTTTAAAATAATTTAGACTAAATGGGAGAATGATTTGCTTACAGTCGTTGTTTTCTTAGAAAGTTTTTCCTCATAATTCACTCTAGATCTGTATAGGTTTTTCCAGTTTTTAATCAAACCCAACTTCAGATCTAAAAGGAAAATAAATTAGAATAATATGAGGCTAAAGGCTGTGTAGCATGTCTGTTCAAGCTCATTCTACATGAGATTTAAATGATTTTTATCGTTTAGGTGTATCAGGCCAGAGTGGTACATGTAATGATCATTTACATTTTTAAATGAAATGTGCTGATGACCAATAAGGGCCCTGATGGGATAGATATGAACAGATGTTGGACATCAGGCCCTCCATATGCCTCCAGGAAAACGAGTTTAAAACACATTTCTGGCCTTAAACATGAGGTGGTCATTTTTGAGGTTACATTTTTTGATTGTATGTGCTAAAACACTTAATCCTGTTTGGTTTGACCCTGTTTCTACATGGAAAAGAGCCCTTCATGTGCTTCTGTTAGACCAGGAAAAAGCCTTAAAGAGTCTTTTGAAATGTAGCCGAACCAAAGCTGGACTTTTTGGTCTTTTTCAGAATCGGCCGTGACGTTTCTAATCTGTAAACTGAGCACGGGAACAGATTTGATCTTAAACGTGAACATCAAGGCTGTTTTTTTTTGCATCTGTTGAGAGAAACTTGTGCGCGTCCTCAGAGAATGATGCAACACATTAGCAAGTTGGGATATACACTATATTGCCAAAAGTATTTGCTCACCTGCCTTGACTCACATATGAGCTTAAGTGACATCCCGTTCCTAATCCATAGGGTTCAATATGACGTCGGTCCACCCTTTGCAGCTAGAACAGCTTCAACTCTTCTGGGAAGGCTGTCCACAAGGTTTAGGAGTGTGTTTATGGGAATTTTTGACCATTCTTCCAGAAGCGCATTTGTGAGGTCGCACACTGATGTTGGACGAGAAGGCCTGGCTCTCAGTCTCCGCTCTAATTCATCCCAAAGGTGTTCTATCGGGTTGAGGTCAGGACTCTGTGCAGGCCAGTCAAGTTCATCCACACCAGACTCTGTCATCCATGTCTTTATGGACCTTGCTTTGTGCACTGGTGCACAGTCATGTTGGAAGAGGAAGGGGCCAGCTCCAAACTGTTCCCACAAAGTTGGGAGCATGGAATTGTCCAAAATGTCTTGGTATGCTGAAGCATTCAGAGTTCCTTTCACTGGAACTAAGGGGCCAAGCCCAGCTCCTGAAAAACAACCCCACACCATAATCCCCCCTCCACCAAACTTTACACTTGGCACAATGCAGTCAGACAAGTACCGTTCTCCTGGCAACCGCCAAACCCAGACCCGTCCATCAGATTGCCAGATGGAGAAGCGCGATTCGTCACTCCAGAGAACGCGTCTCCACTGCTCTAGAGTCCAGTGGCGGCGTGCTTTACACCACCGCATCCGACGCTTTGCATTGCACTTGGTGATGTATGGCTTGGATGCAGCTGCTCGACCATGGAAACCCATTCCATGAAGCTCTCTGCGCACTGTTCTTGAGCTAATCTGAAGGCCACATGAAGTTTGGAGGTCTGTAGTGATTGACTCTGCAGAAAGTTGGCGACCTCTTCGCACTATGCGCGTCAGCATCCGCTGACCCCGCTCCGTCAGTTTACGTGGCCTACCACTTCGTGGCTGAGTTGCTGTCGTTCCCAAACACTTCCATTTTCTTATAATACAGCTGACAGTTGACTGTGGAATATTTAGGAGCGAGGAAATTTCACGACTGGATTTGTTGCACAGGTGGCATCCTATCACAGTTCCACGCTGGAATTCACTGAGCTCCTGAGAGCGACCCATTCTTTCACAAATGTTTGTAAAAACAGTCTGCATGCCTAGGTGCTTGAATTTATACACCTGTGGCCATGGAAGTGATTGGAACACCTGATTCCGATAATTTGGATGGGTGAGCAAATACTTTTGGCAATATAGTGTATATCTGCAGATGGCCTGTGTGAGGTCAAGTTTGACTGGATCTGGGGTTATGGGTTTGGCATTTAAAAGGCAAGCTTTTTAAGAAGGTTTGCATAAATCTTGGAAATGCATGTACACACCAGAGATCAACACATCCTGAACACATACTGTATGTTTAAGGAAGAAAATCCTCTGATAAACAGACAAAAATGGGGAAAACAATGCCTCCATAGAGCTTTTTCATATGGACGTGTGATTGAAAAGCAAATATATTGTTGTCCAAATGTGGTTTAGATGGTTTAGATATAAAAAGGTCAGTAAAAGTGATCAGGAACTAACAACGATGTGCAGATTTTTTAGTCAAAACTGGAAACTGAAGTCTGTTTTATGCCAGCATACTTCCTTTTTCCACCCTTTGAATGGAAAAAAAAAAAAAAAAAACTCTTTTCCTGCACATTTACACACATGATATAAATCTGTTTAATGATATTTGTCATTAGAAATAATTCAACCTGCAGAAATCCAACCTTATCCATGTTAAACTCTTTTTTACTGTTTTTTTAGTCCACTATCAACCTACCGAGAACACATATCAGCCCAAATTATTCATGGCAGTTGTCAGAGCCTATAGGTTGTAATTAGAGTACATATTGCTTTTTACACAATGTAAATCACCACAAAGTGGCACAGAAACACAGTTAAAAGCTATGGAGAATGAATAAGTTTAGTTTGGGGTTTGATCGCATATAAAAATGGGTGAAATCTGGCGTGGCAGATGGTTGAAAACGACTCCAGACAGGTCCTCTGACAGCCAAAGGTAGCCGCGTCCAATTGACTTTCAAATCCTTTTTTTTGCGCGTCCTCACTCACTCCGTTATTATCCGGGTGTCAGAGCTCATCCATCTGCCAGGAAGCATTTGATTTAGTCTGTCTGAGCTCTGTTTGATCAAGGTGAACGCCGTTTAGACCCAGGTCTGCCGTACACATTCACCAAAATCCAGTTTTAAGTCTAAAACACTTTGCAGCCTCTGGGAATCAAAGTTTTTTTTTTTTTTTTCTAAATTAACCCTTTAAAGCCTGATCCAAGAATTTAAAAAAAAACAGAAAATTATTATTTTTTTGTTTGAATTCCTTATTTGACCTTTTAAATAAATACGTAAAAACAAAAAACAGAAATACTATTTTAATATTAATCATTTATTACTATGCGATAAGTCCAGATTATTGGTTATTGCTTCTCATCCGCTAGCAAAAAAAAGAAAAAAAGCATCCTTACAGGTCAATTTTTAACCCGACGTCTCAAACTCTGCTCTGGTTTTTGATGATTCAGTCATTGTTTTAAAAAGAAGGTTCAAAAGTCATACAATTTGATGTTTTTAGTGACATCTTTCCATCTTTTTCCTCCTAACTGTAGATATGTCGTATCTCCTCTGCCTTTTTCTCCATTTTCTTCTTATTTCTCATCATCAGTTTTCTTTTTTCCAATCAAAAATCTGTTTATCTATTTATTATTACAAGATATAAACCATGAATGATTTAACCCTTTAAAGCCCAATCGAAGAATCAAAGCAAAGAGAAGATTACTTTTTTTGGGTTAGACGTCTCTATTTGGCCTTTTAACAAAATATGTCAAAAGAAAAAACAGAAATACATTTTTGATATTAATAATTTATTACTATGCGATAAGTTATTGTTATCAGGTGTATCTGATTGTGTACAATAGGATTTTGAGCAAAGTTTTTACCATTAAATTAAGCAAAAGGTGTCAGAGGCAAAACATTTCAGAAACCGTATCAAATATGATACATTTGGCATTATAGGGTTAAACATTTGAGACTGATTTTAGAAATGAAACTCACAGCCACGATTTCCAGGCCCGCCGTACGGAGTCGTGGGATCTGAAGACGTTTTAATTACATTTCGGGGAGATGGCCACGGAAAAACCGAAATCAAGTGTGTTGCATCAGGTCACGTGACGCTGATGGCGGAGTAGCTGTGTTTTCCGTGCGCTCCCGCAGCTTGGCATCTGTTTAGGTTTTGGTTTGGGTATATTTTGATCAAAGTTAGCGTATATCTCAGATTTTAATTGTTGCGTGATGCCTAGCACTCAGAAAAAGCTCAACCTTGCAACTAAATCGGTCAGAGCCGGAGAAAAACAGCCCCCCCCGAGTGACGGCGCTTCTCCTGTAATGGCGGACGCTCCGTCCTCTTCACACCACGGCCAAGTGGACACCGACAGGTTGGTGGAAAGGATAACCGCGGAGGTGCTGAAAGGTGTAGAAGCCTCGTTTGAAAGGAAGATTGATCCCGTATTGCAAAGACTGGAAACATTTGCATCTAATATAGCCACGTTGGACGCAAAAGTGAAAGAGGCCGAGGGGCGCATATCAACCCAGGAGGATGCTATGGCTAATCACCATGCTAAACTCTCTGAAGTTGAGCTCAAGTTAGAAGTTGCTTTGGACAAGATTGATGATTTGGAGAATAGGAGCCGTCGGTGCAATATACGCATTATTGGGCTTCCCGAAGGCAGCGAAGGTACCAACCCAGTGTTATTTTTTAAGACGTGGTTACAGCAGTTGGTGGGCGTGAGTTTCAAGGATGATGCCGTTGAAATTGACCGCTGTCACCGCACGCTCGCTCGCCCTCCTCCCCCGGGACAACGGCCCCGTGCAGTCGTCATAAAGCTCCATTATTTCCAGGATAAAGTTCGGATCATGCAAGCAGCCAGAAGGATGCAGTCTTTAATCTACAAAGGCGCCCCCATTATGATATTCGAGGATTTCTCGGCTGCGGTCGTAAAGAAGCGGCAGGGATTCTACCACGTGAAACAACGTCTGAGAGAGATGGGGATTTCATTCGCCATGATGTACCCGGCCGTCCTCAGGATTAAGCACAACGGCGTGGAGAGATCTTTCAGAGCACCGGGAGCTGTTGCAATCTACTTGGATAAATCGTCACAAAATGCGGGATCTCCCTCAGTAGCATGGGCTGACTGATGGATTCTGGATAGGTTGCTTGAATGGGTCTCAGCAATCCTGTTTTTGGTTCACAATGTAAGGTAATTGATAAAGACTGCTGAGTAGTTATTATTATTGACGTATGCCTACTTTTCTATAGCTGAGATGCTTACTTTCTTTTATAGGCCCATTATATAGAATGCTACTTTGATAAAGCTGCGGGT